AATGAAAAAATAGTTTTTTAAAAAAAAAAAAAAAAAAAAAAAACCTATCAATGAGATAACTGCACACTTGGAACCCTAGTGGAGTATTTGAGATTTTTATGATTATTGTTAGCTTTTTAGGTGTGCTAATGGTATCATAGTGAATTTTTTAAAAAGAAGGTTAATTTCTAATGATACAAATTGAGGTTAAGGTGGCTGAATCCCACTTGGCTGGCTGTGTGGTTTCAGTCCTGGACCCAGTCACTTGAAAATCATGTTGGGTATATGTGCATGTGTGCCCAAAATCCTGAGAGGAAAAGGGATTGCAGCATGGCCACCTCCCCATGGGGGGTGCTTTCTCACTTTCCCTCTCTCTTTCTCTCTCTCTCTAGCAAGCACACATGCTCTACAACAAAACTTAAAAAAAAAAAAAAAGAGAGAGAAAAAAGAAAACAGTTACTTGTACTGCCAGAGACAGACAGAGAGGAAGAGATAGGAAGGAAGCACCCACTCTGTTTATTTTTCTGAATGTTATATTTAGCAAATGTTGATGGGGAAAAAAACAAAAAAAAACAAAAAAAAAACACCCTACTATGGCTTCCTTTGCCCTCAAAATAAAACCTAAACCCTTTAAAGTGGCTTTAGGACCTATGTGATACGACCACTGTCTACTTCAGTTTTATTTCTTGCTCTTCTCTATTCTAAGATTCAAAAATGCTATGTCATCGAGAACCTTCAATACTCTATACATTTTCCCCCTGCTTCAAATACTCAAATTTACACTCCCCAACTCACTCCTTATTTTCACGTCCCAATTCAGTATTAGGGTTCAGCTCTCTGTGCCCCCTGTAAGCTCTGCAGGGCTGTATCTGCCTGTTTTGCACACATGGTACCTACCACCTAGAAGTCTTTCAGTAGAAACCAAGTGAGTGAAGATTTGAATAAACGATCAAATATTTTGAACCACACATTGCTTCACTAACTTACCTCTCTGCAGAGATTTCTAAGATCAGCTCCAGAGAAAAAACAGGTCTCTGCTGCTAGGTCTTCTAAGGAAACATCGGGCCCTATTGGCATAGGTTTTGTACAGACTCTTAAAATAGAAAGCCTGCCCTGGAACAAAATTTAAAACAACATATTCATACTCTTACAACATGTAAGTTTGATGCAAAGATACATTAAAATATTTTGAGTTATCTCTCATATCACAGATAAACTACATATTCACTTGAGAATCAAATAATTTTTTTTTGAGAGAGATTTTTGCAATAAGGTGTGTGTACTCACCAGAAAGAGACAGAAAGCGAGAAATCACCCCCCAGGGGGGATGGCTACGCTGTAATCCCTTCTCCTCCATTTTCCTCTCGGGATCTTGGACACGCACGCACACACACACCCGGCGTGAGTTTAAGCCACCGGGTCCGGGACTCGAACCACGGTCAACTACATGGGAGTTCAGCGACATAGCCATTATGCTAACTGCTGGTCCCAATAATAAAATTTTTTTAAAGTCACTTTTTGCTTCTGAAGGGTAAGAAAGATTAAGCTGCGCTGGCCCGACGGCCCAGTGTTAAGGGAGGGAGATCCCATGTGGCATATTGGACTGTTTCAGTCTCAGACCCAGAAGCCTAAGAAATATGCCAGGTGCACGTGTGTGCATTCCAGAAATCCCGACAAGATGGAGAAATGGAGGACAAGGGATGTGGCATGACCATGCCCCCACTGCAGGCTGCTTTCTCACCTTCCTTCTCTGTCTCTGGCGAGTATATGTACCACCTGGCAAATTAAAAAAAAAATTATATCATCAGTGGCCACATGGCAACGGCAAAAATAATATCATGATGGGCCAGTAAGTGGCATGGTGGTTAAGGGCACTGAACTTACTCTGTGCAAACCACAGTTCAAATCCCAGACCTCGAGGCTTACTTTCTCACTTTCCCTCTGTCTCTCTCTTTCTCTCTCTCTCTCATTCTGTCTCTCTCTGGTCAAATTCAAATAAATAAAAAAGTTAAATAGAATAATTCTTTTTTTTTCTTTCTTTTTTTTTTCCTCTTTTTTTTTTTTTTTTTTAGAGGTTTTTGCTATAGGGTGCGTGCACTTGCCAGAAAGACAGAGAAAGCGAAAAATCACTCCCCAGGGTGGATGGCCATGCCGCAATCTCTTCTCCTCCATTCTCCTCTCGGGATCTTGGGCATGCACGCACACGCTCCTGGCATGTGTAGCTAATTTTAAAAACAGCCAACCAGGGTCAGCATATGGTGTAACAGTTACCTCGCTGGACTCCCACATGGCCAACCGGGATTCAGTCTCAGTCCAGGTGCCTTGAAAATCATGCCAGGCACCTGTGCATGTGTCCCCAAGATCCTGGGAAGAGAATGGAGGAGAAGGAACTGTGGCATGGCCATCCTGCTCTGGGGATGATTTCTCGCTTTCTCTCTCAGTGTCTGTTTCTCTCCGGCGAATGCATGTGCCCTAAGGCAAAAACCTTTTAAAAAAATTAAAAAATAAAAAAACAAAAACAGCCAACTGCACACATATCTTTAAAAGACAGTATTTGTACTCTTTGGGTACAAAATAGAGTTTTTAAGACATGGTTTTAGAAGCGAATAATGAATTATCAGACAAAATTTAAAAGTATACACTAATAACATTTTTTTTTTCACTTATTCATAATTTGGCAAAAGCTCAAGGAAGAACAAAATTCATTCTCTGTATCTCTCCCAGTCATGGCTCTGGATATGAAGGGCAAAGGATTTACTGACTGACCGTGGATACCTAACACAATCTCTGTAATCAGATTTCTTTACTGTAACATAAGGATGCTGGCCCACATAATCCAAAATGCTTTCAATTTTTTTTTAACACTTTAGGATTTCTCCATTCTAGCTTCAAAGCACTGTCAAGTAGACTCAACAGACTC